CCATGTATGTAGTACATCATATGGAAGAAACTTAGGAATAGACTGGTTTGGGATAAAACTTTCCACGTGGCGATATTCATAAGGTTGATCATCATGGCAAGTTTGACTCAAAGGAAAAAGTGTTTATAGTATCCCAGTATTGCCCTGTGGAACGGGCGGATAGACTTCACCAGGGGATTTATCATCGGGGTGGTAGAAGCCCACCAAATGGAAACTTCCCAAAAATGAGGCATGCGATGTTATTAACCTGCAGGACTTTGACCTGAGAGACTGGCCAGCCCTAGCAAGTTTTTGATGAATTAACCTGCAGGTTTTTGACGAAATGAGAATATGGCTGTCTGTAGACACATCTCGTCAACTAGCAGGTTTTTGACGAGTTGATAACCTGCAGGTCTTTAATGAGCTGGGAAGATGGCTGTCTCTAGACACCTCTCAGCAGCAACCAGTAGATTTTGACAAGTTGAGAAGCAGGTTCTATATGCCCCCGGAGGATGCACAATGGGCCTTATGAGGCCTAAGTGTTATAGATCAATCCACCTTACAGATATAGAGATATCTTCAGCATTGACAGAATGTGTGAAACAAAACATTTTTGACAAAAAGGAATGTTGCATTGTATTGCAAAATAATTATATATAGTTTGTCATTTCTAAGTCAACTTGAAGTTTACAGTGGCTTATTATTTAACATGAAGATGTTTCCTAACGATTTACGATTAACTTTTAATTTAAATGCACTAAAATATTTTGAATGTGATACTTTTTGACATTCCATTATTGACTTTATTTTTACTAAATTTTTTATTTTGAAATTTAATTTTTTGACATTTAATTTTTTTAGGTTTCATTTTTCGACATTTTATTTTTTACATTTAATTTTTTGACATTTCATTTTATGACATTTCATTTTTTGACCTTCCAGTTTTGTCACTTCATTTTTTGACAATCCATTTTTTTACCTTTCATTTTTTGAAATTTCATTTTTCGACATTTCATTTTTTGACCTTCCAGTTTTGTCATTTTATTTTTTATCCTTCGTTTTTGACATTTAATTTTAAAACCTTTTTCGAGTTCATTTTTTGACATTCCATTTTTTTAATAATTTTTGACATTTCATTTTTGAGTAATTATTGACATTTCATTTTTTTTATCCTTTAAGATTAATTTTAATTTAAATGCATTAAAATATTTTGAATTTGATATTTCACTTTTTGACATTTAATATTTTGACATTCTTGATCCTTCATTTTTTGACATTCCATTTTTTGTCTTTCGTTTTTGATTTTACACCCTTTTTTAAGTTCATTTTTTTGAAATTCCATTTTTTGAATAATTTGACTTTTTATTTTTAGTAATTTTTTTGTTTTGAAATTTAATTTTTTGACATTTCATTTTTTGACCTTCCAGTTATGTCATTTCATTTTTTGACAATACATTTTTTTACCTTTCATTTTTTGAAATTTCATTTTTTGACATATCATTTTTTGACCTTCCAGTTTTGTCATTTCATTTTTTATCAATCCATTTTCTACCTTTTATTTTATGACATTTCATTTTTTATCTTTTGTTTTGACATTTAATTTTAAAACCTTTTTTAAGTTAATTTTTTTTACATTCCATTTTTTGAGTAATTTTTGAAATTTCATTTTTTGGGTAATTTTTGACATTTCCTTTTTTTTGTGCTATTATTGACATTTAGTCAACTTGAAGCATACAATGGCTTATTATTTAACAAAGATGTTTTCTGATGATTTAAGATTAATTTTAATTTAAATGCAGTAAAATATTTTGAATGTGATATTTCACTTTTGACATTTCATATTTCACCTTTTATATTTGTCATTTAATTTTTTGTCTTGACATTTAATTTATTTGACGTTCCATTTTTGAAATTTTATTTGTTGACATTCCATGTTTTGTCCTTTTTTGATTTTACACCATTTATTAAGTTCATTTTTTTGACATTTCATTTTTTGAACAATTTTTGACATTTAATTTTATGTCCTTTTATTGACATTTAGTCAAGAAGTTTACAATGGCTTATTATTTAACATGAAGATGTTTTCTGACCATTTAAGATTAATTTTAATTTAAATGCAGTAAAATATTTTGAATGTGATATTTTTAACATTTTGACACTTCATTTTCTACCATTCCATTTTTGACCTTTTATTATTGTCATTTATTTTTGTCTTGACATTTAATTTTTTTGACATTTCATGTTTTTTCATTTTTTGACCTGTCATTTTTGTGATTTTTTTTGTCATTTCATTTGTTTGACGTTCCATTTTTTGACATTTTATTTTTTGACATTCCTTTTTTACCTTTCATTTTTGTCATTTAATTTGACATTTCATTTTTTGAGATACTATTTTTTGACATTTCATTTGATACCTTTTATGAGATAATTTTTTTGACATTTCATTTTTTTCAGTAATTTTTGACATTTCATTTGGTGACATTTAATTTTTTGTCTTTTTAGTCAAGTTGAAGTTTACAAGGCTTATTATTTAGCATGCAGATGTTTTCTGATGATTTAAGATTAATTTTAATTGAAATGCAGTAAAATATTGTGAATGTGATATTTCACTTTTTGACATTTCAGGTTTTGACTTTCTATTTTTTTATTTAATTTTTTGACATTTAATTTTTTAACATTCATTTTTTTAACCTTCCATTTTTGTCATTTCACTTTTTGACATTCTATTTTCTGACATTTCATTATTGTCATTTAATTTTTTGAAATTTCATTTTACGGTATTCCACTTTTGTCCTTCGTTATTGACATTTAATTTGACACTCTTCTTTTAAGTTAAATTTTTAATATTTCATTGTATGTCCATTTATTGACATTTAGTCAACTTGTTGACGTTTGCAATGGCTTATTATTTAACATGAAGATGTTTTCTAATGATTTAAGATTAATTTTAATTTAAATGCAGTAAAATATTTTGAATGTGATATTTAACATTTTGACATTCCATTTTTTGACCTTCCATTTTTTGACCTTCCATTTTTGTCATTCCTTTCTTTTGACATTTCATTTTCTGAGATTCCATTTTTTGTAATTCGTTTTTGATATTTTATTTTCTGACATTTCATTTTTTGTTATTTCATTTTGTAACATTTAATTTCTTGACATTTTATTGACATTTAGTTATATCATATTTTGGAAATTTGTTGACATCAAGAGTACGTTTATTAACTGAAATTTACTAAAAACAATTGACACTTCCATTGGGTGTCATAAAAAGCTTATAGAAAAGTGGTGACATCTTGATTTAGGCACACAAACTAGAATTGACTCCAAAATGGCAAACATTACAATACAATAAGTAGATATGATGTGAAAAGCAAACAAAAGCATTCAAATAGGATGACAAGAAGAATAGGTACAAATACTTGATATGTCATTGAATGTTGATCTCAGGTGTACCAGAGACGTCAGCATATTCTGGCATTTAACAAAAAAGTATCTCTTAACGCTATTGGTTTATTAGAAATAGATTTTTTTCTATTTCTGGCACATTTATAATTATTTATAAAAGGCATAATAATTATGTTCTTCGTCTACTTAAATTACAACGTAAAATTAATAAATTGAACAATCGATGCAATTTTTTCAAAAAGAAACAAAAATAGCTCTTGCAGCACAAATATTTTTCAATGACCATCAAAACTCATATCGTTAGCCAAGTAAAAGAAAACCGTTGACTCACTCATCTAAATATGTCAGTGTCGTTATAGAATTTTGGCAAAACGTTTTTTGCATCAAAAGAAAACATATCTACCTGTCTAAAAATACTACAAAGTCCTGAACGTTATTTATAGCAAAAATCGTAAAATATAATTATAAAATTACGGTATTTTTTTTTTAATTATTTTCTTTTTTAATATAATATGCAAAGTGTATATTTAATATGTTTATATATTTCATTTAAATACAATATTTCAATATTGTTGTCAATAGTATGAAAAACAGGTAACACGATCTTATACGAAGCAAATTTCAAATGTATTTAAAAATTTCATATATATCTATATATACTTCATAATTTCCTATACCTAAAGTAGCTTTTTAAAAAGTATACAAAACATTTTATATTCTTTTATATCTAATTGAACTTTTGCCAGTTGGTACATGACTTTAATACCCTAACAGTTATGGTGCAAACGGTGCTCACATAAAACGTTTGTATACTTTTTGAAAATTGTTTTAATACCAATATACATTTAGAATTTTCGTGGCTACATAGATCAACGAGGCGTAAACATACCGATAACACATTCATAAGGGGGAGACGGGGGTATACGTACATACGTAGAAAAATCAGACCTAGCGAAGTATAGTGTTTTTAATAAACTCCTAGTTATAGAATATATAGAAAGTTCAAACACAATTATTATATTAACAAGAAAACTATTTACAAAAAAGTCTATATTTGGTTGGAGTAGAACGTACAAGAGCATTTTTTTGAGCCACTTGACTAGGCTGTACGTTTACTACTCCCTAATAGACCTTAAGACCTGTTGATTCTTTTTATACAAAATTATACAGAATGTCAAATTTATATCCAAATTATTTAAAGAACTTAAAAAAATTAGTTTGTCTCATGATGATGCGACATCCTGTATATTTTGAAACAAAAAATGTTTCTTGATTTCTTTAGTTATTTAGTACAATATTCCAAAATATTTTGTCCTTAATTTGTCTACCAATTGACTTATTTTCTAAATTTTGTACCATTGAAAATTCGTTTATAACATTATTTTTATTGAAAAATTATTAAAAACACTATAAAAAAAGTGTGACCAATCTGAGCATTTAAAAACATCTATTTTGACGCATTGTTTTAATAGTTAGGTGTAAAAATTTAAATAATCTCAAAATATTGAAATTATTATTGGCGATTCCAAATAGTTGTTCATAGTATCATTTTTTTTAATTTGTAAACCTAAATCAATTAAGGTTTAATAAACCTGTGTATATTATTTAAATTACTCTGAATTGCTTGGTGAGAACAAACCGAAACAAAGCGTCAATTGGTTCATTATCCATATCGTAATACGACATAAATCGTAATTTGGTATATAACATTTGCAAAACGTAAACATATCTGTCGTCACACATAAATTTCTTAAAAACTAAGACACAACCCGATAGGATTTTGTATAAAGCTGCTTCGCGATAACTATAAACTAAAAAAACAGACATAGAGCTCTACCTCCTCGCAACAACAACCATCTCGTATATAAAGTCTTTTTCGACAAATTGAGCCCGAAAAATTCACAGCACTAAACTTCATCTACCCTTCTTCTTCCGTTCTTTCGCCAATTTCCGGCGTTTCAAGATCATCTCGTACAGCACCTCTAAACCTTCGTGCAGGCCATCGCCGGTAATGGCGCACGCTGGCTGTACGTGCCAGAGGTGGCCCCCGGGGGCGCCGCCGTTCCCCAGTTCCGTCAATCCCAAAAGTTTTTCCAATTCGCGCGGCTCCCTAGCACCAGGTAAGTCTTGTTTGTTAGCTAGCACTAGAATGGGTACACTGGAGTTTTCTGGAGCTTTCACGGTTCTGATCAGTTCCATTTTGGCTTCTTCCATGCGTTCCATGTCGACGCTGTCGAGGACGAAGACTATGCCGTCCGTGCAGCGCGTGTAGGACTTCCAGAGGGGGCGGAGCTTTTCTTGACCGCCTACGTCCCAGACTAGAAAGTTAATGCCTGGAAAAGTAGATAATTAGTGAATATTTACGATAACAGTGCTGAAACAAAGCAAACTTTAATCTTCTTTAAATCATTATACTTCAATCCCGAAAACTTTTTGTATATTTAGCGGATTTTAAAATGTCTGGATTTGGCTTTACATGCTATACAGCTGTAGCTGTACATAAATTTGGTTATTTTTACCATCATGATACCATACTGATAATAAAACAGAATGCTTAAATAAGAGAGGCAAGTATTTTTTAACAGCTATTTGAAGTATATTTAAAAGTTTTATGACATATTCGAGTAAAAACAATATTATTTTAGTTACAAAAAGTTTATAAAATATTTCTCCTCATGCTAAAAGGTGCCAGTTACGTATCTAGTTTATTATTACGCATATGAGAGCTCCACATATTCACTGACTTTGACAGATGACGTCAATTCGCAAACTTTTAGGTTTGAGGTATAGTATACAAAATAAGGTAGTTAAATTTTCGAAGAAAAAAAAAAAAAAGACGATCACGTAATGAAATACGAAAAAATATAACAATAACCACTTTAAGAGAGATAACTATTCCCTTGAAAAAGTGGATCGTTTTAAATATTTAGTCATAATTAAAAATTATGAGTATGTTGAAGATGTGAATGAGCGGATATAAACCGGAAATAAATATTTTTTACACTAAACATTTTTTTTGTTTAGAAATAGAAACATTGAAACCCAAATTTTATGAAAACGGTTAAAGTTGCAAACATTTTTGATACAGTTAAACTTCTAGCAGTCATCGAAAAGTTGCTTTGTAATGTAGCGCCATCTTTAATTTAAAAAGTTCTTGACTTTTTTCGCATACAAAAATAACTAAAAATAAAATTGTAATGTAAATACATGCCCAATACTGGATTACAACCGGCAACGTGGCATAAACTGTCTAGAACATACAGAGCCATCAACCGTCAAGTCTAACAAGTAGTTAAGTTCGGGGATGTTTAGATTCATATTCATAATTCATGAGGTGTGACCGCAGCAACACAAACATTTCACAATAATTATAGTTATTTGCTATTTTAATAGTTCCTCTGTTCTAAAAATTTATTTTAATCTCAAAATCTCTTCGTCTATGAACTTTGACATGCTCTCCTATTTACCTACATTTTATTATAATTTACGTTTCTTCTTTATTATAAATACAATTTAAAAACATACAATGGATATATATATCTCATGAACTAAAGATGATATCTCAAAAATAAAGTCTAATAAAAACAATTTATTATGTACTTCTGGACTAGAAATATTTAATTCAGATAAACATGCCATTTTCTTTTTAAATAAGATTTTAATTGATTATGTATTCTTAGGGGCATACTTATATCGTTAAAGAGCATTTTTACAAGCTTTCAATGATGTATACGGAGAGTTGCTATTTTTTTTGTTGAGGTGTATACTGCCCTCCTAAGCCAAAAAGCGGTATCTCAATTATTGAAGTGGTTCTTGCGTCCTCTCGAGTAGAAAAAAATAATTTAGGTACCACTGGATTACTTTAAATTATTTTTTTGTGTTTGAAAATAATTATTAAAGTTTTTATATCGTATATGGATATGCAGCCATTGAGCTTAGTCCCTAAGGCTTTTAGTAAATTCAAGTGAAGTTGAGGTAATATGTAAATTTGTCTTACATTTTTAATTTAATTTTTTAATGTGCTGAATGAGATGTTGCTATTTTTCTTACTATTTTCTTGCTATTTTTCAAACTATCCGATTGTTACAATATAAAAAAGTCCTTTTCTTTCGAGATACCAATGTTTGGCTTAGGAGGGCAGTATAGCAGATTAACGGGGACCAGTTCCGTATTTTATCATTTTAAGTTCCCCCTTCGCATTCTAGAAACTGTTTTAGGCATTTTCTGATATCTTTAGTTAATAAAATATAGACGTAACTTTTTAAATTGTAATCTAGTAATGTCATCTTTCTGATTTTTTCCATATTTAGTAAATTCTTATCATCTCCTTTAAATTGCCATGTTTAATTACCCAGAGATAAAGTTGGAAACATTTAATAAATTGCGTTCTTTTTTTTTGATCATTTGTTTTAAAAGTCTCATTAGTGGATTTGACATTTATTAAAAAAGTTTTTGTAGGTACTCATTATAAAAGTAATTTAGACCATTTTTTAAGTAATTACGCTCTCATCTATTAAAACAAAACGGATATTAAATGTCTCATTTTTATGAAATAAAAAAGAGTTTCCCACTGCGTTTTTTTTTAATTAAAATAATTATGGTAAGTTTTGAGAAAATGCTATAGAACTTTGGAAACAGTAGATTAGTATAATATAAAAATGATTGATAATGATATAATGCGACCAATTGGCAAGAAACTAATAAATAAAGATTTATTCAAATACGAGGTTTTAGTAGTAAACAAAATTAGATATGATTACTATGGCTACAAATTACTATGATGATTTATAAATAGGTTATCGAAGTTCGACAGTTTGATATCTATAACTTGAACGTTGATAGAACTGTGAGTTTTTGAGAAAAGCTAGTGTTTGAAAAATTTGAGAGTTGGTTAGTTATCAAGCAAAGGCGTGATATAGATATTCCAAAAGAGCGCGTGAGCAGGGACCTAAACGATTTGTTCAAAAACTTGTTCAGGGTTACTAAAGTCCTAACGTCTAGGAAGTGAGCCAGAGAGAGTGTTTCGCTTATAACTGGAAAACAGTGCTTCGTAGGAAAAACATTTCTAATGTCAAGTAAAAGATGATAAAATTATCTACCACTTTTAATCTATACACTTTTTTGAATTCCCAACCAGCTCCAGAAAAATGAAAATTTTCGAAAAAAAGATATGTACGTCACATTTTTCATCAACAATTCCTTCATATCATCTAAACTATTCGTCTGTATCTCCAACAGGTCAACAGTTACAGCAATTTTAAGTAAGTAACAATGCAACTGATAACATTAACGTATAACGTCTATCATAAAACTGAAAAATGACGCCAGGATCATCCTTATATATATCATTATATATATCATTATATATATCATCTCGAACTGTCGTCTAGAATATTCGTGACGGGTAATGACATTTCCAGACATTTCGGGACTATTCTATCTTCTCTTACTTGTACTTTTACTTATGACGATCGCAGCACACTGTAGGGCGATGAGTAACATTCCACTTCTTTTTCTATCTGTACGTTTTCTATAATAGCCGCAGGCTACTGCAGGGTGCTGCGTAATATTACTCCCTCCTCTCTAGTTATTCGTCCCGAATAAATTAATTACTGGGACCTAGTTGGACCTAATGGGGAGGATCTGGATCATGGTATGGAGCTATCTTCCCAATGTGAACTACGTTGAATTTAATTCTTAATTGAATGCGGCAGATCTAGTCGTTGATTTTCCTTAAGGACGTAGTAGGGGCCGTTGCGATTTCTGACGAGGTCCTCTTCGCTGCTTGGATTGCACAGCCATACCTTGTCGCCCCTCTCAAAATGTGTATCTGTAGCACGCCTGTCGATTCTAGCTTCTGCTTTATCGGTGTGGGCTTTCAGTCGTTCCCGAACGAATCCATAGACCTTTGTCCTACCATTGCATACATCACATTTTTTACACCAATCCGCTACATCCCGTCGGCAATTGACCCAATAAAATCTTTCCCGAACTCGTGTCAGTGTCCTTTTAGTATCAGTGTCCTCCTGAACGGCTGCTTTTCTCACCTGTGACCTCGGCAGTATCACTTGGCGGACTACATGGTCTCCATCCGGGCTCTCCCACTTCCGGTGCAATAGGCCATCGTAAAGATACAGGGAATCCCACTGGGTCCAGTAGTTTTTTTATAGTTCTACTGTATTTGGCTATCTCTTGCCAAGTAGGTGTGACTTTATTTTTAAGCCATTCTCGGACAACCTTTGTCATTGTCTTTCTTTTGTCCCTGTCTCAGACTTTCAAGGGTGATTTCTTCTTCGTCGCCCTCTAGCTTGATAGTGGTTGCCCGAAGAGTAACTTTATCAACAGGTTTTTCTCGTTCTTCGAGCCTTTTAACTATTCCAGCATTGTTTCTCTAAACAAGGTTGCCCGAAGAGAATGTCTGCGTTGCTATGGAGACCTCTTCGATGCTCTACTTTCTGGTTAGAAAGCGGGCTCGGTGTGGGTGATTGGCTTCTTCGGGACGTACAGCTGCTGTAATTAATTCTTGTTGGTCTTAGTGATGGACTTGGAAAGATTGATCTGTATGATTTTCCGGGCTAATTCGCTGATTCTCGATTTATAGATTGAGCCATGCTTCTACAGGTTCTTTGAAGATACCCGATTCTTACGCAATTGAAGCATCTCCTGCTTCCATTTTGGCTGTTTCGTTGCATATTTCGTAGGATATTTAAGATTTGGGGAATAGCATTAGTATTGGCCTCCTCTCCTTCCTGGGATTTAATTTCTCTTACATTTGCGCGAGAAGATCTGGATATAAGTTTTACCGCTTCATATTCCTGGGCTGCAATCAGTTTCTCCCTCAGCGTCTTGTGATGTTGTAGACGAAGGACTTACTGCAAGTAAGGACGGAAGGAAGGACGGACAGAGACAGGTCAAGAAGAGAGGCGACGATACAACCTAATGAGAACTGATATCAATTTGACATTTCTGAAACAAGAAAATTTTTTGTCCAATCCTACCAACAAAAGTCAGTTCATCTTCTTACTACAGACAAAGCTTAGCGAGACAGGGATACATACTCCATGCCACCGATGATGCTGACGTACTTATCGTGACTGCTGTAGAACAATCCAGTCACAGTTCTGTGGCTGTCATTGGTGAGGATGTGGACCTCCTTGTTCTTTTAATACTTTCCAATCCTTCCATCTAAGACATCCTGCTACCAAAACCCAGCCGAGGGAAAACGAAACAATGGCACTGTCCATCCAAAAGATTTGAACACATTCTGTTCTTGTATTTTCAAGGGGGGGGGGGGTAAGATTAATTCATTCAAAAAAAGGCACATTTTTGTGAATTTTTTTTGACGACACAGTTAAAATCTGTTTATTTAAACTAATGGTACATTAAAGTATAACATTCAAAGAATATTGTGTCAAATTTTCATGTAGAAATATCAAAAAAATACGGAAATGGCAGCAATTATTCGGAAGCGTTTTGGAAAAAAGTAGAATGGCGGTGCCCCTCCTAACTCGGTGCTGGATCATCAAAAATGAAAAAAACAATAAAAAAAAGGCGATTCTTGCGAAAAAAAATACGCTAATTTGTTATTATAAAATAAAAAAAATATTAACAAATTTGAAAAAACTCTCCAGCGTTACCTCTTAAATTATGTACAGAAATAGTGTTCAAAATTTCAAAAGGATAAATGCAGTAGTTTTGATGTTATGAGGGGCACCGACCTTGAAAACGTGAGTTGTGGGAAAAACGCTTTAAAGTTTTGAACACTTAAAAATTTGAAATAAAACGTTCATAAGCGAGTTTTATCGGCTTATCTCACACTGAATCATCGATGCCAGGTGCATAAAGGATATTGCTATCATTCATGATGTCTAAAGCATCTTTTTGCTCCTGTCTATGATGAATCCTCAATCATGAGCGCTTGATCCACCACTGATTCCCATGTCTTGCAGGTAGGTTAGTAAAGCAAAAGAACATGCCAGGTCAATGCTATACAGTACAGGTATTAACACGTTTGTTTAAAAACTCCCCCTTACCGGCTGCGACACAACATCTAACAAAGTGGGAATTTTAAAATTGTACTTGAAGACAGAAATGATAAAGGAAGCGGCAGTGATCTTTTTCTAACACTCATTCACTTACGTCGAGGTTGAATAAGCTAGGAAGATGTGCTTCTGATAATGGTATGGGGCACCAGCAAGACAGACTTCCCTAATCAGTACCGCTTTCATTCGTTCATGATGTCAATGGCAAATATTAGGCCTGACATCAGCACCCTCCTACCAACTGAGAGCGCAGCTAAACAGCATTACCGGCGTACCTACCAATAAACTTTGAAGTGACTCAGGAATAAGCTTTACACTTAAGAGTGGGGGTGGAAACGTAGGAAACACCTTGGTACCAAAGATCTCTTCTCTTCCTATTACAGGTTTGATATGACTAAATGTTTACAATTTTGCAAAAAATAGTTATTTGCAGGTGGCACTCAATTATATTGTCATTTCAATCCTTCCGAATATGAAATAGATAATGATCGCATAAATCAAGATTTGCATAAACGTTTGCCGAACGTTTTGTTACACTGAAGTGTCGCATAGTAAAAAACAGATTTGTAGCAAACTCGCAATCCGCGTCGCCACAGTTGATCGCACGTCGCTTTCGTATGTCGCACTGTCGGAAAGTAAAACATCTTGCCTTTATAGACGACAAGCAGCGACACATACGTTCGATATCAAAATGGAGATGGAAGAAGTTACAGCGATTTTGCTTATTATGTTCGTTGTCGGAAAAAAGTGAAACGAAGTTACTGGATTCATCTTTATGTATAATAACACGACGCACGAAGCAAAATAAAGATAAGAAGCTTAATTATATTCGGACGTGAGAGCGATAAAAAGAGTAATTGGTTTAACCACGCCTTTTCGATGGCAAGCATGGGATATTGCGGTCCCCACCCAGCGACGGTATTATTATATTTCTCTCTATTCAATGGCATTGTATTTCCATATCGCTCTCCTGGAGAAAGGACGGAAAAGTTAACATATTGTACATAAATGCATCTAAATCAATGCCATCGACATTTAGAAACTGTGGAACTCTAGAGAAACCAACAGGAACACTACAACTCCATCGACGTTTCACACGCACAAGGCGCAAATTGAGACACGTATGTATATAGTACGTGTGAGGTGACACAACACAGCGCGTTCTTTTGTACTCTTCAGGATTAAATAAATCAGCGCCTTTTTGCCAATTCGCGACCTAGTTATTTTGTTACGGTTAAAAATATGTTTTTTAATACCATATTTGCAACAACTTGTAGTAGTAGCCTTCGTTTACGGACTTACGCGGTCGATCTACTCTTGTGATATCACGATTTGATGGTCACGTCAATTCTACTCTTTACATAAAAAAGAACCTCACCTTTGGCTTTTCCGATCATCCCCTTCACCTTCTCGCAATTGAACCCTATTGTAGGCACCGTGTTCAGGTACTGATCGAACTTGAGCCTATACAGGGCCGTCGTTTTTCCAGCGGAGTCCAGTCCCAGCATGACCACGTGCAGGGTGCCCTGACCGGACGGTAGGGCGTCCAGAAGTGACGCGTTTTTACCCATGTTGGCACCCATTGGTAGCTATTGGCGGTAAATAGGCAACGATGGCAGTCATATATTACATTTTGATTAGGGGTTTTTAGTCGAGGCCACCCTCGGTGCCGACGGTGGTGAGTTATAGCGACGAAACGTTGTGCGGCAGCATCTTGTCGATGGAATTCTGAAACAAGGATAAAAATAGGTTAAATTTAACCAGAAGCACTGATGAAAAAATACTAAGTTTGTTTTCGGATATTGTAGAATTTTTACCAACTATAAACTTGACCGAAGATTGATTTTAGAGACACACATTAAATATCCATTCAGAATTAGTTAAATAATTTTAATAAATTTTATTTTATTTAAGATTTTGGGTTTTATTACATTAGCAATAGAGGTTGAGAACTATATGACTATCGAAAACTATCGATAGTTTTAAAATTTTATAATGAAAATGAAACAAACATCAATTTCATTCTTTTGTTTTTTTTTCCTTACAAAAAAAAACTTTGTTTTCATTTGCAAAAAAATGAAGTCGATGAAAAGTAAAAAAGCATATTTGAAAGTCAATATTTGGAACTAACAAAATTCGTCTAAGGATACAGATCCACTCTTATTTTGAAAGACAACATTAGTACAATAGTTTTAAATATTCATTATGTATTTAGGTACAGTAAACGCCAAATCTAAAGAACCAGCGCAAATGCTCAATTTCGTTTAGTTAAAAATCGCCACGCCCATTCACAATTTGAACCTTGTCCTTGCTTACGGTCAGTAGCGAAACGACTAGATCATTGTTTGTTTCTTGTTTCTGTGTTTTGGTTAAAGTGACTGGTTTTATTTTTAATAATGTCTTCTATTGTGGGCGATAAAAAGCGCAGATATGTTATTAACGAACAAAGTCGTGAAGTAATATACAATGTTTTTAAATATTTTGACGCAACAAAAAAGGAAGGAGTTACTTTAGATGATATCAAACTTCAAACTGCACAAGCAACAGGTAAACATACTCTGTAGTTTATTTGCAATTAAACTTGCGTAGTTTTCCATATTTTTTTTGTATTTTACACACATATCTATGCATTTTATTTTTGATTAATATTTTATATTTAAATTTTTAAAATTTATCTTGTTTCTAAAAATTTTTGTAAATGGGAAACTGATACCCGATACCCCTGCCAAAACTAAAATTAGTTGTTCATACCTACATCTTTTGCAAAATGACAAAGAATATTTAGTAGGTACTTCAGAATATTTAATTTTAGACAGGTGTTTAAAATTAAGGCAAAACGTCATTTTACTGATGTTTTAAAAATAAATATCGGTGGATTTTTACTTAATATTATTTGTTTTAAAACTGTTTTATCATTAAAAACGTTTAAAATGACAATAGCGACATTTTGATTAAGTCGAAATGTTGTTCTTGAGGGTATAATTTTCATAATAATCATTATTCTAAATTATAATACTTCAATTATTTTACTTTGATAATCAACACGTCTCTTTCAGTTCATTCTCTTTTTTCTTCCAGTGGTTTTAAATTCTTATCAATTTACATTCTACACAATTTAGTTAAAACTAATTTATATCACTAGAATTATCTGAAAATTGCCGTTTTTTTCACACAGAATTTGGTTAAGGTATAGACTAATAATGTATTTATGCAGAAACTCCCTTTAGCACCATTTTTCATAATAAATAAAATCCTTAATGGCAAAATTAAAAGTCTCAGTAATGAAGAATATTACAGATTCCTTTTTTTTTGTACCAAAAAACGTAACGTTGGTAATTTTCAAGTTGATAACCTAAGTGTCCGATTTTTTTGTTTATTTTTGCCTTTATAGAATTCAATTCTGCCTTACTCCTGTATTTTCAATGAAACTCACTTTATTACTTTATATTTTTTATTATTTAACACCAAATTAAACATTAAACTTTTTTATGACAGATGACACGTGCAGTGTTGACAAGTGAAGTGACATACCTGACATGACATCTGCCAAAGTGGGTTTTTAGCGATATACTCGACAATTTTGAGACGAAATAATTTGAACTATCATAATAATTCAACATATTTTTTATTTTTATATATTTTATAGGAAGTTTGATAATTTGTCTACAAAAATACAATACTGAACGATAAAAAAAATACAATACTGAACGATAAAAAAAATTCAATTTGTTTTGTTTAATTCCTAAAATGACACATAAAAACATGCGATGATGGCATTTACTAACGATTTAATTTGTTTAATTACTCAACATAATCGGAATTTTTTTGATCTTTGGTACTCAAAAATTAAATATAATCACTTATTAATACAATTCGATTAGTCAAATTAAAAATATATTGGTGATATCATGGAAACATTAGTTAAATAATATTTAGAACAAATAATAAGAATAATTTTACTTACTATCGATGATTTTTGATTGGTATTCTAGACCGCGGGTCTCACAAAGGTTTTTGGCAAGCTAATAAATTCTAAATATTTCCATTTCCATTTATTTATTTCACCTTATAAGAAAATTGTACAAAAAAATTATACGTTTATCGTGAAACATGTCAATTATAAAAATACATAAAATTATATACCAAAAAAAAATTTAGAAAAAAAAAACATACCTAACAAAAACATGAATTATTATATAAAATAATATGGAATAGCAGTTTTTCTCTAATAAAAGTTTTTTTACATTAGACTCAAAAGTGAAGAGATTACTGTTGTTCTTTATGCCCTATGGAAGGATATTATAAAATTTACAACCCATATACTCTGGATTGTTTTCAAAAAGTACCGTACGGTGTCTAGGTATTAGTAATTGGCTTTTTTGTTTCTTGTGTTATACTCATGAGAAGTACGCTCGGCAACATATATTGATCTGTTTTTATGAATGAAAGTACATGCTTCTAATATATACATATACCCCAGCCAGTGTCAGAATTTTAAATTTTTTAAAAACTACATGAATCTCAGTTTTGCAATAATTCTTATGGCATATTTTTGAAGAACAAAAACTCTTTGCTTGGTAGAACAGGTAGCACTTACATACAGAGGAGTAGATAACATCACATCCAGATGGATGGCTCAGCTGTTATCTACGAGAACTGCAGAGACACAGATAGGGCAGGACACCATCTCCATCTGCACAACCAGAGGATGTCCACAAGGGGGAGTTCTATCTCCACTAATGTGGAGCCTAATCGTAGACGAACTTCTATGCAGATTGACTGACCTCGGCATACCCTTTCAAGATTATGCCGACGACATAGTCATATTTGCTAGTGGCAAGTTTAGTAATACCCTGTGTGATATAGTCCAACGAGGACTAGGACATACCAAAAGATGGTGCCGTGAAGTGGGACTTATTATAAACCCTACAAAAACAACACTAGTAGCCTTTTCAAGGAAAAGAAAACTTAATCTCAAAACCGTTAAATTAGACGGGATAGAATGGAAAAATGAAGTCAAATATCTAGGCCTAACCCTGGACAACAAACTTCTCTGGAACACCATGAGAAGGAAGTAGTAAATAAGGCCACAAAAGCCTTAATGGTATACAGTTAAACAATGGGGATGTAACCCAAACATACTGCGATGGATGTATACTGCAATAGTGAGACCAATCATCACTTACGGGGCTATAGCCTGAAGTAACAGAACTAGTTTAGCTACTACGAGAGCTAATATCTCAAAAGTACAAAGACAAGCCTGTGTTTGCATTACTGGTGCAATGAGAACCTGTCCTACGGCCGCAATGGAAGTGATCTTAAACCTCACCCCTCTACATTTGATGATAGAGAATGTGGCAAAAAGGGCACGATATAGAATGATTAGGAACGGAGTAATCAGACGAAAGTCTACTTGCTTCAGGACTAAAGATACCTGGGACATGCCCCAGGATGAAATGCTAAAGAAGTACAGTTTTGTGAAAAACTTCAAAACCCCTAGAGCTGGGATTCAAGAAAGAATGGAGCCAAGAATCCATCGCGCTAGCAAACCGAAAGACGTGCTATTCAGTGGTATACGGACGGTTCCAAAACCATAGACGGAACTGGAATAGGAGTGTATGGGCCGAGAATCAAGCACTCCGAAAGCTTGGGAAAATACCCAAGCATCTTCCAGGCGGATATTCACGCCATCGAGAAGTGTATCCAGTTTAACATCGAGAGAAACTATCATAGACAAGAGATTATCATCATGTCCGATAGTCAACCAGCTATCAAAGCGCTGAGCTCTTACGTAATCAGCTCAAAATGGTCTGGAGATGCCTAGAACAATTGAATGAGCTAGGCGGGAAAAATAGAGTGTTTTTTAAAGACTGTATTAATTTTAAAACATCCTCATCTGAAACAGGAGCCATATAAAATGTTTTATTATTAGATGTAATATTTTTATTTAAAAATTCTACGTCATAAACTAAGGCTATCTATGGGGGGTTTTATGAAATTAATATTAAATTTATTTGCCAAGTCAGAATCACTTAACTGGTTGCCCTGATCATATAATATAAGCTGGTTATTTTATTTGTTGTTCCCTTTTTGTAATTGCCCAATCACTTCCCAGGTAGCTTTAGTCTTATTTTCAGAGCTTAAAATGAGATTATCATAGTATTGTTTAGATGCTTTATGAGCATTGATCACAAATAACTTGTTTTCATGGCTTTATTTCATGACAAATTCGCAAACTTGTTAGTATTTAAAGTTAGTTAATATTCAAATAAAAGATAAATGGATTTGATCTCTTATTTTCATTGGTTACAGTCAAATTTTTATTTTTTATATTGTAATTAAAATAGTGAAAATCAGAGTTTCTTAAGAATGTAATTTATTAGCATTTGTTTTTAATTAATTGCAGCATATTAATATCACACCAATGAACCAAATTATTTACAACAAAATAGCATCATTTACATCTGCAATCTTTTTAGATATTTTTAGATCCGCCCTTTATATTTCTGATACAATTAATCACTATTTTTCTTCGAATATTTTCCGTGTTTATTTTAGGTTATTTAGGAAAAGTTCTTTAAATAATATCACAAACGCTCACATAAAAACAGGTTGTTTAAAAATAAAGAAGTAGGCGATAATTCTTGGTCTAAAAATAATTGTCTTCCAATTATTCTCGGTTTTCCTGAAACAATTTATGCGTTTAAAAACAACGAACATCTCAATTT